AATTATAGTGTTTCTTATTCCGGTGTGCTTGTTTGCACTTTTGTTTAACTGGTTAGAATTTCCCTACTATGTAATGAACTGAAAGCTATATGTGTGTGTAACAGACTGAAGGCCATATGTTTGAAGTTTTCTAAACCTTGCTTCAAAGTACAAATGTAAGTGTGTAATCCGCTTGGTTCTGCTGCAAGTTTGGTCTGAGAAAAAATGCACTCAGATCTGCTTGTGTTGTGTAGTATGTGGCTGCTGGTTCCTACTTGACCTTTGCACCATTTCGTCGCCAGCTGACTGCTTCAACGCGGAAAGCCGGAGAGGTACAGGAGAGGGACGCCGAGCCGAGACGAGCCGCCGCTGGACCTCATCGACCTGGAGCAGTCGTACATGAAAGAGGAAAGGGGAGGTCCACTCGTTCTATTGAGCTAGACTTCAAGGTCTCTTTTGCGAAATGTACCTACAGCTCCCCTTGCCCTGCATCATGTCCCTCTCTTCTTAATCCAAGGGCTCAGGTTGCATTGGAGCACCTGGTGCACGAGTTTGTCGGGTACACAGAATACATTCTCTATGCAACCCTACCGCCAGGACCCATGGCGGAAGGAAAAGGGCCAAATGTTAAAAAAAAATCAAACAGGGTCAGATCTTGTTAAACTTTGCTAAAAGAGCCGAAACATGAAAATCGGCCCGGTCACGTTTCTCTCTGTCACCCAACCCAAACAACTTTTTTTGTTTAAGAGCCCCAACCCAAACTACATAAAGAGGTAAGAGCACTAGAGACCCACAAACTTGCAATGTATGTGATGGTTTAGCCCACAAACTTGCAAAAGGTGATCAACCCATCCTTAAACTTGCACTGTGGCTGAAGTTTTAGTCCACAACCATTCACGAGCTGACAAATGGCGTCTGGCTGGCCGCATCGTGGCATAGCTGCTCGCCGTGGCATTTTTGCGAAAAAAACCTTCATTTTTCTTGAAATCACACACGTGTATATAGCTGAACCACCCCTTCTGAACTGATTGGGCAACGTACATTGGCCGACTATTTTGAAAGAAGAATGTAGCCGAGGCAAGCAAAAAAATTCTTATAATCTTCGTAGAGCATTGGCAGGATAGAACACAGGGGATGGCCACAGCTCACAAGTCACTATTAGGCACAAAACTGAAAACATAACGTAAGGCCAACTCCAGCGCAGGACCCTATCTTGTCCGCCGGGCTCAGTTTGCGTCAAAGCGGACAAAAAATCAAGCCCAGCGGCAGACCCCATTTTATTTTTTTTCGTCCGTATGATGTCCGTTTCACCCCATCTCAAGACCAAAGTTGGTCTCGCTTTGGCGCCGAAACGGACACAGACGGACGCTCTCTGGCCACTCCTTGTCCGCCTCGGCCGCTTGCATGTGCAGTGTGGCCCGCCTGTCATACGAATAAAAAGGGCCTATCTGCCCACCCATCCCCTCTCTCCTCCTTTTTCTCCTTTTTCCCAGCCATGGATGCCCGCTTCGTGTTGCCGCTGGCCTCCACGACGAGCTCCGGCAAGGCAGGAGCAGCGAGCGCAGGCGAGGGCGGTGAGCCCGGAGCGGCACGGGCGGGGCGAGCAGGGCCCCGGGGACGGCGAGGCCGCACCCGGCGAGCGCACGTGGGCGCTGTTGGTTGGCGCAGGGGGCGGGGGCGTCGAGGAGCACAGTGTGGGCGAGGGCGAGCGTGGCGACCCCGGCGAGCGTGGCGACCCCGGCGAGCGTGTCGGGCGGGCTGGCGGAGCAACAATGTTGCAAACTAGATGAACTAGAAGGCATGCACATCAATGTCGCACACAAACAACAACTATAAATAGAGACATGAACAGATCACGATGAAGATATTGTTCATTAGCTGTAGCGGAAGCGACGTTGTTGATGACGATGTTGGCGACAATTTGTTGATGATGGCGATGAAGATGATGATGAGTAGCGCCGCCTGACTTGGACGGAAGACGACCTTTGATGGAGAAGTTGAGCAGTCGCACAGTGTGCTTCCCAAAAACCTAATTTGTCCCCGCCCAGTGCAGGATTGGAAGGACAAACGGTTCCGGAGACCTACTCTTCCACACGCCGATGCACGCCGGCGTTCGGGATAGAGTAGACTATGGTGGCAGCGCAAGTTGTGAGATGAGGCAAAATCCTAGGTGTTTTCGGCGTGTCTTTTGCCGGGGCCGGTAGCAGTATATATAATAGGACTAGAGGCGGTATAGTGTGGTGATCACGATCTCAAACAAACTTTATATAATAACAGCAGATGCGGTATTGTATCATGATTACAATCTTAATTCGACTTGGTTTCTAAGTCGTATACTTACCGGACAAGAAATAATTAAATTGTCTACCAAGACACCTGCAGACAATGGAATTAACCGAAAAATCGCATTAGAAACAGCACGCGGTGCAAACAAATTGCAGCACACAGCAACAGAGATCAGATCGAGGGATATTTCACCTGGAAGCTCCCATCACCAATGCAGCCCATGACACGCTTGTCACCCGAGGAGCGTGCAACGTATGGGCCATCCAAAGGAGCGTGCAACGTATCATTGAATAACAAGAGCGGCCCAGGCATGTACTCGCGCGTGATTTCCATAAAAATACATGGGGTATTCGCAAAAGTGCCGGGGCGAGTGGATAATTTCATAGTTTACATCACAAACTTGTTATAGTTTTTTACAGAAGAGGAGAATATTTTTTGATATATAAGGATGTTTACATCACAAACTTGTTATAGTTTCTTGGTTGTTTGGATGTATAAGTTTAGGATTGGAATAATATGATTTTTGGTTATAGTTTCTTGGTTGTTCTTAGAGAATCTCTAGCAGATACCCTAAACTTAATTCCCCAAACCCTCTCTATCCCAAAAAGTCATTTTTTAAGGATTAAACTTTTCCTCAGCTACTGGATGCCTTAAACTTTAATTCCCTATAATTGACATTTGATTCACGCAATTTATGGAAGACTTTGCCTGTGAGCAAACCGGCTTCACACATTGAGCTAAATCCATAGCACACACACTGAACTTGCTAAATCCATCATAAACACAATGAAACAAACCATTGGCAGCTTTCGATTATTAAACAACTAAATCAAATGATCACATAGATTCCAGCAAAATAAACCATTGACATGATTGGTGCTGTTATCCGCATGGAGCACCCGAATCAAATCCAACCCAAGTAAAAAGCTGGCGTCCGTAGTTTCTCACCAAATCTACACCGCAGCTGGCTCTCACCTGCCATCCTCTCCCTTTTCTCTCTTGTCGACAAGTGGGCCCTCCTCTCACTTTTCTCTCTTGTCGACAAGTGGGCCCTACTGACAGTTTGAAATTAGCGTGTACCGCTTTAGTGTGTAAATTAAGGCATATTTGTCTTATCGACCCCCTTGGTGTAGTTATGTTTAATTGTGCAGGCCCGTTCTAGCCCATTTCACTTTTTCTAAAATCCAAGAAACTTCCAAAAATCATATTTAAACAACTGAAACTCCAAATCATTTCATTCTTTTTCGTAAATTCATCTAAATTTCCCTCTTTCCAAATATACTACTTTTGTAAATTAGAGCCCTTTGCATGTATTGTTTATCGATTTTGTGCTAATTTTTATTTTTCCCGCATGTATAAATGTTATTTTTAGGAAGATTCAAGGGTGTTCGAGTAGTGACCAGAAGCATTGAAGATTTTGCTAAGCCAGGCAAGCAACCTACTTTGATCATGGTGAACCCATATCAGCATACATACTTTATTATTATTTTCATGCATAAAGTATTGTTTATTGTTATTATTGCCATGGTAAGTAAATTATCCATAGTTTAGCTATGACCTATGTGCTTGATATTGACACCCCCTTCTATATACCCACTGGCCACAAATAAATGTGTCACACGTGCAAGTTTAATACTCCCTCCAATCCATATTAGTTGTCGTTGATTTAGTACAAGGATCAGAGGGAGTAGTAATCTTTGGCTAGTCATAGTGGGAAGTAACTTAGAATAGTAACATGCATATGGCTACCTTCATAATGGGTAGTAAAATATGTGTGGTATCATGCAAGTCTTCATTTATTTAGATGTAGAGTCATTTTGCCTTGGATTGCGTTATGTTACGGCAAACACCTCTCTCTTCATTAACCACTTGCCACATATAGCTAAGTTACTCCCGCTATGACCAGCCTTAGCCATGCTAGTCACATAAATCGTAGGACTTGGGAATAATCTTTGTTGCTCATAAATGTATTAAAATACCAAGGGTGCCACTAACGCCCATGGGATGATTCTCAAAATAAGCTTTTACAAAATGGAGATTAAGTGGAGATGTTATCAAAAGGCATAGTGTGCAACCGCTGATAGTCACACAAACCTTACATGTGCAAGCACAAACGGCAGATGGGTGGGGGAAGCTAGCTCACAGAGGAAGTCGGCGATAGGATCTGACGCACCCAAATCGGCACCGGCCACAAGCCCAGGAGTGGGTACATGGGCCAGCGGGATGATCTCGGCCCAATCAGGCGAAATGACTGGGATTAGACTGGAAGGCCCAGAACCCGGTCCTTCCGTGCGTGCTTCCTCAGGATGCATCTCCAGGAGAGACATGATCGAAAGCATCTGTGTGTACCACTGCCTCCCGCTGTGTGTACTGGCCAGCCTCTAGCGCTCGCTGCAAATTGAACCCTTTAACGGTCGCGCAATGTGCGCACGCTCAATGTGTCCACGTCGGACTGGAGCCGTAATGAGAGAGAAAAACGCACAATCTGATTGGCCGTTTTTTTAGGGACGTTGTTGGTTGTTTCGATTGGTCTACCTCTCGTTGTTGGTTGTTCTCATTGTACCCCAGATAACACCTCCCCCTCCTTTCTTTCCTTATCTTCACCACGAAGGCACGCCCTCTCTCTCGTTTCCTCTCACCTGCCGCCACAAGAGCCGCCGCAACAACGCAACACCGCCCAAGCACGCGACCTCCTCTCTCTCTCTCTCCCTGGTGTGATCCGCTCTCCCACACAGCTAGACGAACGCCTTCATCTCGAGCGGGTGAGTGGGTGATCGGAGAGGGCGGCGCTGGCGGTTTCGATCCGTGATCTTTCTCGACGCGGATGGCGGCGTATCGATCCCGCTGAAGCGGCTGGCGGCTTCCGGCCCAGGAGGCTTGGGGTGTTCGTGGCGGCTGCGAGGAGGTAGCGATGGGGTTCTGCGACCGGATGAGGAAAGGGCGCCGATCTCGCTCCTCCTGCTCCCAATCGCTGGCGCGGCCACCATCGACCAGATCTTCAGAACCTCAGGTGCGCTCACTCTTTGCCTCTTTGCAACACGTGGATCCCTATTCTTCTCCCCCCCCCCCTTTCTCTATCAACTGGTGATGAACAGATTAATGTGTCCATGCATCTTGTTAGTTAGTAATATTAAGAAAAGGAAGGTTGTTGCTGCCGTGAAAGAACTCTAAAAAATGAACAAAAGTTGATGGATGAGCTGCAGAGGATGGTCGATGATATGTGTTTGTACCATAGCCTTTGCACTCTCCTGGCATCAATTCTGTATGTAACCGTACTATGTCTCGCATAATTGGAGGACGAGGCAAGTCGATAAGTTGAGAAGGTCAACCGGTTGAAGCGAATCTCATTGTGTTACCTGATAACTCTTTCACTTTGATTAGTGGAAGCAAGTAAGCTGTTGTTCTACGTACATGGAATGAAGGGTGAGGTGGACAAGCTCAAGCAGATCAATAGGTTTCTATATTATTCCACATATATGGGTTTGTGTGATGTTATTTTGGATTACTAAGATGTTTCATCTATAATGGAAATTATTGGCCATTAAAAATTAGTCTTGATTTACTATGGCAATAGTTATTGGTTACAGCCATTAAAAAGACTGATTAGTTCTATCAGATTATTTAAACTGCAACAAGGAATGAACATTACAGTTCTCTTTGATTTTTTTTATGTTTCCTCTTTTGTCTGATCTGAAATAATATGTCATGTCTAATATATTCTACCCTACATCATCAATTCCTTATACATTGCTCACAGGAGAATATTGTAATGGCACTTCATTAATTGGTGGTAATAGACACAACTCCAGTCTTGCCATGTTAGTACAATTAATTTATTTCAATTCCAAACATGTATCATTTGTAGAAGATGTGCCACGAGTTAATGGACAGCTGGCCTTTGCAAGAGCATTGGGAGACATGAGCTGCTACTCGTACACACGTATTAGCTTTTGCACTGTCAAATTAGTTTAATTTGAAACTTGGATGAAACAACCAAACAAACTTGATCTATCTCGATCCTGTTAATTGAGCTATGCAGGGCACAATAAACATTCTGTTTTCTTATTTCTCTATTCCTCTTTATCGCTTTAGTTACACCAGTTTACTTTGTCATGTAATTTTTGTTCCATCATTATTGCAAAATATAGTTCAATCTGATCACATGGAGGAAAATGTCTTGAACCAATTGTTTGGTATCCACTAATGTGCAATTCAGTTGTAAGAAAATGTCTAATCTGAAGGTATGGATGGAGAATTTGTTTGGCATAGAGTACACTGATATCTTTCTGTCGTGTTTCATCTGTCGAGCATGAATGTATGCGAAGTTCACTTTTATGTTGCACCTACTGTTAGATCTAGAGTATCACTGGCTGAATCTTCTGTTTGTTTTCAGTGTTGAAGCACAAAATAGAAGGGGGTGAATGAGGAGGCAATGGTTGACGGCAACCATGGGAGGAGGTCGGGGCGTCGAAGAGTATTGAGTTGGCGAATCCGGCGAGATGTGGTTCAAGCAAATGTTGATGATGCGGCAATGAGAAGACCCTCTCTGTGAGCCCTATCCCTCTCACTTGGAGTCTCGGTTTTTGTTTTTGGTGCTCCCTATTTCTCTCCTTCATTTTAGTGTTCGGTTCGTTGAAAACACCAGCTGCTAAGGTTCTTTAGACCGTTGTGAGAAAGCATCCATACTTCCATAGGAAAAATCTTGCACTTACCAAATAGAAGTCTCAAAGTAGAGAGTGCAAGGAATATTTGATCATTGGCCAGATGTGGTGATGTGCATCTGCTGAATGAACCGTCCGTCCGGTCACCTCTATTTTATTTTGTGCTGATTATTGGTGAGTTTCAAACTTCCAATTTGATAGATCCTGCAGAAGAAGAGCATGGAGAACATCTCCCTCTTCCTATATATCTCAAATTGGACTTACAGGTGATCGATCCATGGAGTTGAAGTGTTTGTCAAATTGCTTGCCAGGGTGATTAGGATTTTATAGGTCACTATTTGATTTCTGTCATAATATTTAAACTACTACTGATCTTCTAAAATGTTATTTGTTATTTCTTTCAGCTATCAGCTGGTCAGTTTTGATGTGTTTTCGACATTACGAGCCTATCACTTTTGATGTGTTGGTATTACAATGAAACGGAGTTGCCATTTCAGTTTGCATCTACACTCTACTATTTATGCTTTTGAAGTACATGTCATTGCACAACTATTGATATATGATTCATATAGAACTTGATGAATTGCAGAGTTATACTTTCACAATTTTATAAGATACTGAAACCAGTTCGCCTTCTTTTTGATGAGGAGGTTCTCTTAGAAAATCGGCACCCGAAGGTCTCTATTTTAATTCCTATAATCAATGGCTACAAAATGCTTCTAGCTCTACAATGAGGTTGGTAATGCAACTTATGTCATTAGTACTATACTGGTTCTTTTAATTGAACAAAATATGTAACCAGTTTTTCAGTTGTGAATACCTTTTTCTTAGAACAATGCATCTATTACGTACACAATATAATGATAGAATTGACAATATTGTTGTATAGCCTATTGGAGTATAACATGCCCTATTGATTTTATTTATGAAAAATCCTGGTTCGTTGCATGGTCTTGTTATCATAACTCTGCTTCATCAAGTTTTATTCTGGATCAGGCTGCTTTGCACACCGCGTGAACTCTACTTTGCACTTGCAGCGATCGCGCCATTTCTGGAAGCGGCAAGGGCGGTGGGTTGTACCTGTGCCGGTGCCATCACTTGACACTCCACCTGGATGGCGCCGGGCTGGGAGCTGCAGGAAATACGTGTATTGAGGACCACGGTGTGCGGGTCATGTGCCTGATGCTAGACGCGATGGTCGGGCACCAGACTGTCATCGGCAACTACAAACAACAGAACATGCGAGTCGTCTACAACCTTGATAGAGCCATGCTATCCTTTGTGTCGGCGCACTATAACTGTTCTGAACAAAGGAAGAACTTGTAATCACATGAAATATGCCAATGTGGCAGTGGTACTGAACTGAAGCAACGATTTCTTTGAATGAAATGTGAACTGGAATGTAGAGCTGACAAAAAGGGTTGCTGGATGGGCTACTATATTGCTCTATGTTATTTACAGCTGTGATCTTGCATGTAGTATAAGAAAGAAAGTGGAATGGACGCCACCTATCTGGCACCGCTGAGTTTCCGCTCAGGAGGCGCACCACGGGTGCGCCACAACCACTAGTCAATGTCATTGGTGGGGCAAGCAACAAGAGTTGGGTCTTCGGAAAGCATCTGACGAGCTTCCACTTCTTGGTTGGTCGTCGGTGACTAGCGCATGCAGCCCACACCTTCTACAGGTCCCGCCGTAGGAGCTAGCGGACAAGCGAGTGTCTCCACCGAGAACCCTTGCAAGCAGTTTCATCATGTTGGCCGCCGCCGGAGCTTTCATAGCGATCACCGCTGTGGTCACCGCCGTGACCTTCACCTCCGAATCTGTGGCCACCATCCCGCCTGGATGGCCTACCGCCACCAGAGCTCTGGCCATGATCTCCGCCACCGAGATGGTGACCACCACCTCCAAACCCGCCATCTCCATCACGCCTAGGGCCAAGCCGAGAATGCGCACTTTCTCTTGGTGGCGCCGATGGAGATGTCCCGTGCTCTAGTCCCAAAGTCCACTGGTAACGCCATTCCTGTGACCCCTTCTCAGAACGCAATTCCGACGGGATGCCGCTATTGTTGCTCTACTCGTTTCCGCCGCTCGCGGGACAAGACACAGGTGCCTGATGGAAGTCAATCCCTGTCAAGGTGAAGCAGAACTTTGTACTCAAGCATCTTCAAGGGTCCCGATCATCCCATCGGCTTGGCCTCGACACCCGGCTTCGGACAATGGAACAAGTGCGCACGCCGCTCTGCCGGTTCCTCCAGCTGCAAGACACCTTGGGTGTCAAGCCTGTTGACATCTCCCATCCACACCCAGAGGCGCATGCACACAGGAGGGTTCAACATCAGGAGGGACTTGCCAAAACATGGAAAAGGTCCTACGGGAAGTATCAGCTTGAGGAGGTATCTCTGTTCTAGGCAGGAAAATGACAGGCCAAATTTTGTACCATGGAAGGCCAAACCCACAGGCTTAGACTGAAGAGTCGATGCTTCTGCGAAGCCCATTTAACAGTGAAGCTTGATAAAAAGCGTGAACTTTGGTATGCTAGTAGTTTTGTTGATGATCACAACCATGTTCTTGCAAGACCGGAAGAAGTCCCATTTCTTTGGTCTCATAATAAGATCAAAGAATTTCAATGAGTAGAGATCTTAGCTATGGCAGAAGCTGGGATCAGAAAACACATTAGTTTTGACAACTTCATCAGCAGGTATGGGTCGTATGCTAAGGCATGGTTTGGGAGGAGGAGTTGTATAATATGTGCTACAGGGAGAAGATGAAACTGCTTGCACATGGTGATGCTGACACTGCCATAGGAATAATGATGACTACAAAGGATCCATATTTTTTCTTTGAGCACACTGTTGACGTTGAAGGCGGGCTCAAAAACCTGTTCTCGTGTGATTCGCAGTCACGTCGGGATTATCTTGACTACGGTGATGTGACCGTCTTCGACAGTACGTACAAGATGGATAGGTATGGAATGCCGTTCATCCCTTTTATGGGTCTGAGCAACCACTGTCGCACTACGGTATTTTGGATGCGCCATTGTTTTAGACGAGACTGAAGGTACATATGTTTGGATGCTTTAGACGTTCTTGGAAGCTCTCTGTCAGAAAAAGCCCAAGTTCGTAACTACCGATGGAGATGCAGCAGTGATAAGGGCTATCAGGAAGGTGCTTTCTGACGTGTGGCATCATCTACGTGCATGACATATTGAAAAGAATATGCAGAAACACGTCGAGCATAAGTCGTTGAAGGAGTTCAGGGATCTACCGTACTACACCACTGCACATGAAGTTTTTGAGGAGAGATGGGCCGCGTTTGTGCGTAAATGG